TTGGAGAAGAATATTAAAATTACCATGGACATCCAAAAGAACAAACCCCAATCTCTGTTGGAAAAAATACAGCCAGAAAATGTTCTTTGGATGCCAGGATGACCAAACTTTGTCTCTCATATTTCTGACATATCCTCAGGAGGGACCACTCCTTGGAGAAGGGTATCATGTTTGGTAAAGTGGTGAGTAGGAGAAATAGAAGAAAACCCTCCAATGAGATGGATTGGCACAGTGGTAGCAGTGATGGGCTCAGGCATAGCAACAATTGTGAGGTTGGTGCAGGACCAGGTAGGGTTTCTTTCTGTTGTGCATAGGGTTGCTATGAGTTAGTACCGACTCTATGGCAACTAACAACAAACAAGAACTCCTGGTATGGCACTGTAGGATCAGCGCTGGACCGCAAACTACAAGGCCAGCAGTTCAAACTCTCCAGCTGCTCCTTGGAAACCCTATACAGAGTCAGAATCGACTAGATGGCACTTAACACTAACAAAAACAGGCAAGGAAGAGCTACAGACTGAAATGCTGATTTCTCTTGCTTCAATGCTTAAAAACAGATAGAAAAGCAGGTTTTTTTAAGCACAAAATGCAATCACTGTAAATACTAGATAGCTTTTGTGTACTTGTGAAATTTCAGTGCATTTTCACTTACATTTAACCTCAAAACTAGTCACGTTTTTATGTAATTTTTAATCTGTTTGCTGACAAATCATGGGTGCTTTTTTCTTCTTCTTACATAATTTAATTAAAGTAAGTCAAACTGCATGTGTGTACTGTCAAATGGGGAAGTCAGCCTCTGTCTCTAGGTAGAATAACTATTAGTAGAGACTTGGAAAATGAATTTTATAATGCAATTTTAATAATGAACTTATCTAAACTAAAAATATCTCTTCCTTACAGTCATGTCTTCATGATAACCCCTGAAAAAATAATGAAGATGATACATTAAATTCCTATCAGGATTCAGAGGATCATGATTCATTTCTTTTGGATAGGCTCATAATTTTTAAATGCAATAACAAAGAAAGACTCCAAGGTGGACAACTCATCACTTTATTGAAACAACCCAGTCCAGTGGCTAAGAAGCTGGAACAAACCCTGTAGGAAACTGGATCTGATTATAAAGACACTGGCTTCCTTTCACTCTTATGGGAGAAAGGGGCTGTGAGTGTAGTATTCTTTATCATTGTCTCTGTCTTAAAAGCAGGTAGCTAAATTTCAAAGTATTAAATCAAGCAATAAGTGCATTAGGCAGGGCATGCAAAATTCAGATTATAATACAGGTTGTTGTTTTGTTTTAATTGCAAAATATATTAAAATTTAAAATTAAGTTTAAATCTTTTAAAGTACTATTTCTGAATTATACAGGGTGCTATGAGACTCCTATAGTCCAGACTGATGATTTTGTCTTTCTTCAAAACAAAAAACTTCAAAATCTTAAATTATCTATGTGTTGGAAGAGCAGTCTTCAAATATGACAGAATTTAACTCCATGGGATAGAAACAAATTGATTCCCTGAATTTCTATGGTATGGTTGTTCATCTTGGATTCATAGAGGTCCAAGAGGTGGCTGCCAACACCTCTCTTGGAAATAATATACAAAAAGTAAATCATCAGGAGTATAAAAGACAGTCTTTGCTATGGCTGGTCCAACCAAAATCCCCCTCACCACCCCCCTACACACACAAGGCTCCCACTGCAGCCAGGGTCTCCCCCTTACCTGACTTACCAGCACACTTCAAAATTCCTTGGACAAAGTGCCCATCTATTTCCCCCATGATCTCAGCCTGTTGTTTTGGAAGCTACAGTGCCCCCTATGATATACGAGATGACTCAAAGATGACCTCAATGCATCATTGACCCCAAGTACTTTATCTCTCCACAGAGAGCTGAGACTCATTAGTTCAAAACAAACAAACAAACAAAGCTACCAGCACCAAACTCAAATTCAGATGTATCTAATAATTTTTAAAACACTCTGAATAAGTAGATGTTGGATTGGGCTTTGCTTGGAGTTTGGAGTATTTCTTATATCAAGAAATAAGCTCTGGGAGGAGGTAGAAGAACAAGATAGATAGGGGAACACTGAGACAGGTTTGCATGGCCTAATGGGACAGAAGTAAATAGTGATGCATACTCAACCTTGGAACAACAGGGTTCTGGGATATAGGGATCTAGGTATAGCTTGAAGAGGGGATATAATGCTAAAATCCTTGACTGCCTTATGAATATTAGTTTCCTTTGCCTACTATTGTAAAATAGACACTTGAGTGGTATAGAAAGGAATGTTGGGAAACATGATTAGAGAAAACTTGTAAGCCCATCTTCAGCCTCAAAGGGGTTCTACAACTTGCCCAGTGAAATAGCCCTTGTGCAAAGCCTTTACAGAGTATAGGACCTTAGGTGGAATCCTGAGTCCCATCCACAACCTTGTGAGGTGAGACATTCCCACTAGAAAGGACAATCAGACTGGAACAGCTACAGTGACAGAAGATACATCTTCAGGATGAACCTGACCTATACTCAGAACAGTAGTTACTCTAAATACCAATAGAGAGGGAAATAGTCTTCAAATCAAGTTTCAATGCTATCCGCTCTGTGCACAGGGTAGATAGGAATGGGCAACTTAGACATTGGCTATCTAAAATGAGGGGACAATAAAGGCACAAAGTGACTGGCTTACAAGGTTTCAAGAGGGAGCTTAGTTAAGAGTGTGGGGGGAAAGAAAGAGTCCCCACTGAATAGTTATCATCTTGTCTAGATGGGTCTGGTGAAAGGAGATGGAGATAACATTCGTAAGATTCAATAGTGAATAACTGTTATCATGACTAATCGCAACTGTCACATTTGTAAAGGTAGAAGTTTTGTAACAAAAAAAGGGGAGAGGTTATTCTTACAGTCCAGAAACAGAGGACCCTAGGACCATCAAGAGAGGAACACACAAATAGAATGCAGGACCTTATCCAGAGAAGCAGCAGCGCCAGAGATGGAGGCAGAGATGGGGGCATGAAGGACTCTAGATTCATCAACTAAGAAGAGAAGGACTAAGAACTGGTGGCCAGGAGCAGACTTGCAGAATGTGCCCTTTGGAGATGTAATTTATTATATATGCCTGAGTGGGTTTTTTTGTTTGTGTGTTTTTTAAAAAAAAACTAAAGTGGATAAAGAGAAATACTTTTAAGTGATGGTATATGGAGGGGATTATAATCAATGTAATGAAACAAGTTATATGAATGGTTGAATGTGAAACTGATGATGTGCCCTGTAAACTTTCATTCAATCCACAATAAAAACCTTAAATTAAAAAAAAAAAAAAGAAAGAAAGAAGCTCTGCTACTTTCACACATTTGTTTTAGAAAGAAGGTAAACCTAACCTAACCAAAATGACAGCAGATTTCAAAACCTTCTCTGGCCTGTGCTCTGCAAGTCCAGGGCCTTTCCTCTGGCTTCCTGTGAGTCATCTGTACACCTCTACCACAGCACTTAACACAGTCCATAAAAATGACCTGCATCTAGATCTACCTTCCTGGCTGTCTTTCTGTGTAGTAATGCTGTAGGATAAGTACTGGACTGCTAACCACAAGATTGGCAGCCACTATGTGGGAGAAAGATGAACTGTCTGCTCCCATAAAGATTTACAGTCTTGGAAACCCTATACAGGGTCACTATGAGTCAGAATCAACTCCATGGCAATGGGTTAAAGAGGGTTCTGGCCTTTGTTCTCACCTCTTGGGAAGCAGTCTCTAGGAAGGCTGTCTTTATTTGCTTTGGGACCTTAACCACCAGACAGTCAAACACTGTGAATTATGATTGGAGCGTTGGGTCCTGCAGTATTCCTCCTACTTTCAAAGAAACCAGATACCAAAAGTTAATCTCACAAGCAGTTAACCAGTTAAAAGTCTAACCCCAAGGTTTGGTCACACTTCATGGGTGGCAACACACTGCACATGTTGTCACAATTAACACAGCCCTGACTCCACATGGATGGGATGCCCCAAAGCTCAAGGTTTGTTACCTTCTTGGACTCAGCCTTATGCACTACTTCCCTTGGCTGAGTTCAATCATAGATAAAGGATTATCTATGTTTGCACAGAATCTACCACAGTTCCTGCCACAGTTTCTTTATCTATGATTGAGCCCCTGGGGAATGCAAATAGTTCACATGAAGTATTTTAAGGCTTCTCTTTAACCCACTGCCATCGAGTCCATTCTGATTCACAGTGACCAAGACTGTAATCTTCATGGGAACAGACAGCCTCATCTTTCTCACATCAAGAGGTTGCCAATATTGCAGTAAGCAGTCAAGTTGCTTATACTACAGTGTTACACACAATAAGACAGTAAGGGAATGATGTTAGCCAGAGAGCTGCTAACCGAAAAGTTGGAAGTTCAGTCCACCCAGAGGCACCTCAGGAGAAAGGCTTGGTGATCTACTTCTAAAAAATCAACCAATTTCAAAACCTTCTCTGGCCTGTGCTCTGCAAGTCCAGTGCCTTTCCTCTGGCTTCCTGTGAGTCATATGTACACCTCATATGAAAACCCTATGGAAAACAGTTTTCCTCTGAAATATAGTCAGTCTCTATAACTTGGAGCATGGAGTCCTGGTGTGGTGCTATAGGATAGCACTGGACCACAAGGTCGGCAGTTCAAACCCACCAGCCACTCCTCAGAAACCCTATACAAGGTCTCTGTGAGTCAGAACTGACTCAACAACACTTAACAACAACAAATAACTTGGTGATAACTGGTTACTGGTTTTCTGTAACAAACCCTAACCATTAGTATAACAGCTTTCACTGAACTCCTAGCAAATGATCAAACTGAGGGTGGTTTAGAGTTGGTGTCAAAAGTGAGAGTGTGTGGACTGTTCTCTCTTGCTTTGCACCAGTGCACTGTTGTTTGCACAGAATCTACCACAGTTCCTGCCACCTAGTAGAAGTTCAGCAAATGTTTGTTGAACAATATTGGAAACTGAAGCTATAGTGAAAAAAGAACTCACATGCTTCTCTTGGGATTCGGAGAGATTGCCTCCATCTTCCTCATCCTCTTTTTTCACCTCATTTTCTCCACTTTCTTCAGCCTTCTCTGTTTCCTGGTGATAAAAGAAACCCACACTATCACTCACCTTAGATAAACTACCAAGGAAAAAAAGCAGATGAGGCATGCTGTGATTTTCCAGTTGAGATATGCATAAGACAAACATAGAACTCATATTTAAGGAGCCCTGGTAGTGGAGTGGTTACGAATAGGGCTGCTAATCTCAGGGTCAGCAGTTCGAAACTACCAACAGTTCCATGGGAGAAAGAAGAGACTTTCTTCTCCCGTCAAGATTTACAAACTCAGAAACTCTACGCAGGGTCTCTGTGAGTTAGAACTGATTCCACGGCACACCACCACAACACCACCATAGCTCATATTTATTTAGTAATTAAACACAAAATAGTAGAGTATACGATCATTGAACCTAGAAATTTCTGATTGGATTTATTGCAGTAGATCATCATATCTGACTGTCATGTATAGCAACTCCCTGAAAGAGGAGTTCCAATTCACTTATTTCAAGATTATGAAGAGAACTCCAAAGGATTTAACATTTACCCAGTGATTGCATTCTACTGCTTATGTAGAAGGACACTAATCATTTTAAAGATTAAAAACTTTAGAGATTAAAAAAGTAGATAAATTATCTCTATACATGAATGGCATTATCCTATTTAGAGAAAATCCCAAATAGTCCACAAGAAAACTTCTAGAGATAATAGAGGAATTTAGCAAAGTTTGAGGGCACATGGTCAACAAACAAAAATCAGATGAGTTTTTGTATACCAGCAATGAGAAATCTGAAAGGCAAATCACAGGTTCTTCAAAAAACTGATGCAGCACTGGAGACAGTCATCTATGCTAAGAAAAGTGGAAGACACTACCTGGCCAAACAATTGGAAGAGAACCATATGTGCCCATTCCAAAGAGAGGTGATCCAACAGAATGTGGAAATCATCGAACAGTATCATTAACATCACATACAAGTAAAATTTTTGTTGAAGATCATTCAATAATAGTTATAACAGTACGTCAACAGGGAACTGCCTGAAATTCAAGCTGGATTCAGAAAAGGACATGGAACAAGGTGACATCAGATGGTCTTGAATGAGAGCAAAGAATGCCAGGAAGATGTGTACCTGTGCTTTATTGACTATGCAAAAGCTTATGTGGGCCATGACAAATTATGGATAGCACAAAGAATGGATATTTGGGAACAGTGCTCAACTTAATAAGAACACAAACTGGCACTGCTGTTGTGGAAAATGGAATAAATCTTCCCCAAACTAAATGGAGCCAATACCTCACCCAGTAATTTCATTCTTCCATATATACCTAAAATACTTGAAAGCAGAGACTTAAAAAGCACACCAATGTTCACTGCAACACTATTCACAATAGCCAACAGGTGTAAACAATCTAAATGCAACATTAACAATTGAATGGATAAACAAAATGAGTTACATATATACAAAGGAATACAATTTAGCTAGTAGGAGACATGAAGTCTTGAAACATGCTATGGCATGGATGGAGCTTGGAGACATGATGCTGAGTGAAATAAGCCAAGCACAAAAGGATAAATATTGTATGACCTCATTATATAAAAGGACAAGAAAGGGCAAATGTATAAGACCAAAGTTTATTCATGATTACCAGAGGTGGAGGAAGGAAGAAAGTGGAGACTAACAGTGACAGAAGTATAGAATTGATTAAGGGTAGAGTTGCACAGAGATTATAATTGCTGTCAGTAAGTTATATACCTGAAAAAGTTGAATTGGTGAAGTTGTGTGATAATGATCTATTAACAACAAAAACAACAACAAAGGAGTAGCTGCTGAGACTGCTTGTATACAACAAATCACCTCATGAAATTATATTCTTTGGATTGAAGGTTTAAGATCATAGCTTCCTAAATTATCCCAGTAATTTAGCCTAATAATAAGTTTAATACTTCTGCTCTGCCTCCTATTTCATTTTGTTGTGCCTGGAGTCTAAAAAGATTGCAAGCAGCAATCCAAGGCACAATAATTGATCCCTGGATCAATAGAAGAAGAAGGAGAGTCAGGAATAGGAAGAGAACAGGAAATGTATGGTTAATTGCCTCCATGAACAACTGCCTCCTTTGTCATGACACTAGAAGAACTTGATGGCACCCAACTACCATCACTAACATTTTGATCAAACATTCCATAAAGATTCCCGATCAAAAGAGGGCAAATTCAAGACCGAATTTCAAATTCTTATGAACTATATAATTTCTAGAGCCATAGAGGGTAGATGAAATGCTGAAACTATGCTCTGAAATCATCTTTAAATCTTAAACCAACTATACCTCCTGAAGACGTCTTAAAACTGAGCAATAGTTTAGCTTAAATAATGAAGGTGGGGGAAAGTCTGCTTTGAGCATAATCTTCTTTTAAGAACTATCTGTATGTGATCAAAATCACAACAGCAATTCAAAAGATCAGATAGAAAGTTGAGGGGCCAGTGAGGAGCAACTCAGCAAAGGAGGGTGAGAATGAGCACACAACTCAAAGAATGTAATCAGTGTCACTAAACTACAGAAACTAATTGATAGATGTTTTTCTAAGTAGATTCTCAACAACTACAATAAGATAAATGAATTTAGTGAAAAACAGGGATAATAGGAAGATTGATTTAGAAGTAGTAGACGTTAGAGGACACTGGAAGAAGGCAGCTCGGGATATCAAGTCTTACCTCTGTGGTGCTCTGTGCCTCTCCCGATACATCACCATTGGGAAGGGAAGCTGCTTCTTCAGACGATTTAGTCACCTGCATCATATAAATTGGAATTTTTGAGAACATTCTTAAAGATAATATTTACTTTTCAATACCTTCTAACTATTCAAATAATGTTTTGTCAATATCCTTCATTTTATCTTCACAACAATATTCCAAGCTAAGTAGATAGGATGGTCAAAACTACCCCCACACTTTACTTAGAGACTAGAAAATAAGGGTAAAAAATGACACACTGCAAGTTAGAGGCAATGCTAGGTCTGCCCTCTCAACTTAATGTACTTCTGACATATGTAGGGGTTCTTAAGCTTTTACCATTTCAAATTATTTTCATTACCAATGCATTTCAAGTTCATGGCAACAAATTAAGCCATACGCAACTCTCAAGTCATACCCATCAGTGATAATCAATACAATACTGGATATTTGATATGGACTGACTCTACCTAAAACATATAGAGAGACTATTTTCTTAGTTGGTTGTTACTTTTGTTTTATTTTGTTGTTGTTGTTTTTTAAAAATAGAAATGGAATGGATAGTGGTGATGGTTGCATAACATGACAAAAGCCATTAAGTCACTGAATTGTGCACATACAAGTATTAAATTAGTGATTTTTTATTATATATATGCACCCATTGGAGTCCTGGTATAGCACTGCAGGATAAGAACTGGACCACTAACCTCAGAGTCAGCATTTCAAACCCACCATCTGCTCCTTGGAAAACCTATACAGGGTGTCACTATGGTTTGGAACTGACTTGACAACATTTTTTTTTTTTTTTTTGGTAAGACAAGACAACATTTAATTGTTGCTATTCATCTATCACTTTGTCATACTGTGTTGCCTTGTGAGTAGCTGTGATTCTGGAAGCTCTGCCACCAGTATTTTAAATACTAGCAGGGTCACTCATAGTGAACAGGTTTCAGATGACAAAAACAGAGTAGGAAAAAGGAGTGACAAACTATTTACAAATATTTAGTCACTGAAAACCTTATGAAAAGCAGAGAAACATTGTCAGAATAATGCCGGAAAATGAACCCCTCAGGTTGGAGGCACTCAAAATGTGAGTGACTTGGGAACAGTTGCTTCCTCAGTTGACCGTGATGATGCGAATAGAGTAAAGCCCATGGAAGTAAAGCCTGCAGGACCTTCATTTGCTCATGGGGCACAACTCAAAATGAAGAGAAACAGCTGTAAACATCCATTAATAACCGGAACAGGGAATGTATGCAGTATGAATCTAGAAAAATTAGAAATTGTCAAAAATTAAATGGACCGCATAAACATCAGTATCTTAGACATTAGGGAGCTGAAATGGACTGGTATTGGCCATTTTGAATCTGACAACCACATGACTTACTTTGCTGGGAATGACAAATTGAAGAGGAATGTTGCTGCATTTATTGTCAAAAAGAACATACCAGAGCAGTCATGAGGTACAAAGCTGTCTGTGATAGGATATTATCCATGAGCCTACATGGAAGCCCAGTTAATACCACTATTATTCAAGTTTACACACCAACCTCAAAGCCAGTGAGGATGAAATAGAAGAATTCTACCAACTTCTTCAATCTGAAATTGATCAAACATGCAATCAAGATGTATTGATTATTACTGGTGATTAGAATGCAAAGGTTGGGAGCAAAGAGGAAGGATCAGTAGTTGGAAAATATGGCCTTGGTGATAGAAATGATGCTGGAGATCACAATGGTAGAATTGTGCAAAATCAATGATTTGTTCATTTCAAATACCTTCTTGAGACAGCATAACAGACGACTATACACATGGACCTCGCCAGATGGAATACATAGAAATCAAATTGACTACATCTGTGGAAAGAGATGATAGAAAAGCTCCATATCATCAGTCAAAACAAGGTCAGGGGCAGATTGTGGGACAGACCATCAATTGCTCATATGCAAATTCAAACTAAAGCTGAAGAAAATGAAAACAAGTCCACGAGAGGCAAAATATGACCTTGAATATATCCCACCTGAATTTAGAGATCATCTGAAGAACAGATTTGATATGTTAAAGCCTAAAGACAGAAGACCATAAGAGTTGTGGGATGACATCAAGAACATCACACAGGAAGAAAGCAAAAAGTCATTAAGAAAGAAAAGATCAAAATGAATGTCAGAAAAAACACTGAAACATGTTCTCCTGCATAGAGATGCTAAAGTAAATGGAAGAAATGAGGAGGTCCAAGAGCTGAACAGAAAAGTTCAAAGGTCTGCTTGAGAAGATAAAGCCAAATATTATAACAAAATGTGCGAAGATCTGGAG